GACCAATTCGGGGTGTGACCAGAGTCACGGAACGAATTAAATTCGTAACCCGAGGTTCCACCGTATTTAGATTTAACAGACATTTGGCTTTAATAGACACAACTTCCCCCAAACAAGTCTGTAAAGGTGAAGTTTTACTGTATTTTTTCATTGAAAACAAAACAATACTTCAGTACAGGTAGTCCTCGGTTAACAACCACTTGTTCAGCAACTGTTTGAAGTTATGACAGCACTGAACAAGTGATGATTATTACTGATCCTCGAAGTTCTGACCGTCCAAAACTCCAATGGTCATGTGATTGTGATATGGATGCTTGGCAACAGGCTCACACTTATAATGGCTGCAGCATCCTGCAGTCATGTGATTGCCTTTTGTGACCTTCCCTGCCAGGTTCCTACAAGCAAAGTCAATGTTGCTCCTGTAAGTTGCTTCCACTCCCGCCACTTTTTCTCCTGATGACCCTGGCTATGGAGTACAAGATCCCCAGCATCTTGTACTCTGCAGCGTGTGCCTGCCCGTAGCACCCCTGCCCACATTCCGTGGTGCATGCCTGCCTGCCTGGCCAATGCTTGTGTAGTGCTGCACCACCAACATGAACACCCTCCTGCGCCCAGCAGCAGCCACACCCAGCCCAGCCGAGCCCAGCAGCCACTTACCTGCTTGCTGGCCTGGTTGCAAGCCACCCAGGATTTGCGACTTCCTGCCAGTTTCCCCATTGACTTTGCTTCTTGGAAGTCCTTGCCAACAACCCGCAATCCTTGGTTAACAACAGCAACGGGGACTGCTAAGTGATGCGGTCAAGTGACATCATACTTTACTACTGGGTCGCTTAGCAACAGAAATTCCGGTCCCAATTACCACTGTTAAGTGAGGACTACCTGTAGATTATTTTAATCGATGACAGGTTCATACTGAAACAAATCCTTTGATATTAGGACATTGTGATATATCACTTATTAAAAGTATTTCACACATTTTTTTTAAAAAGAGTTATCACACAGGAATTATATTAATGCGCTGACAGAAGAACAAAGATGTACCTGTCTCTTTTGCGAAGTTCTTATTGTTTATAATAATGCATTTACCAAGTTTCTTATAGGCTATATTATATTGGAATGTAGGGGTAATAATTCGATATTGGTTACTGGAAGAACCCTCTGGTTGACCTTCCCATTCATTCTTCTTTTTTCTGTAGAAATACAACTAAATGTTATTGTGAAAACAATGTGATCTCCAAACAATCCAATAATTACACATCTGTATAGTGAAACTAAAAATACATATAATTAAAAATGGTTTGAAAATCTATCTATCTATCTATCTATCTATCTATCTATCTATCTATCTATCTATCTATCTATCTATCTTGTGAATGCATTACTTCCAATATA